GAAGGCAATGGTATGGACCGAAGAAACTAGCCTGGTGGGGAGGAGGACTAATGGGAGAAGCCACTTCCAAAGTGCTGGCCAAGAACAAAAGGGAGTGAAAGCTAAAAGCATATAGGCTAAGGCCAAGAGCAAGAGGGAAAAGCTTGGAAAACAAAAGCTAGGAAAGCGACATCACGATCGATACGATGCAACCTTCACCTACTTCCCACTTATATAGCCCTCGCCCCCGGCGCTTCAACTTCAGGGGCCAACAGTCGCATCCGTTCAAAACGCATTGGTTCTAAAGCCACCGCAGCGAACCAAACGACGACACGTCACCAGCGCAACGGTCTGATTCGGGCGACCTAGGGGGAAAGGGGGCAGCCTCCACATGCGCAAGAGCCTCCGCACCTCAGAACCTAAGGACTAGATTTTGAGGGCAAGGCCCGCCAGCATCAAACCATGCCCTCAAGGGGGGAACTGTTGGGACACGGTTACGAGTCGTGGAGGCTCTAAGGCTCATAGTGGTGCTAAGAACTAACGATTAACAAAGTTCTGTGAGCATTGTGTAGGGAAAAAAGAGAAGGGAACCTCCGCCTGGTTGGCTCCCCTAGGCGAAGGTCCGGAAGCAGCAGTGAAGGCCCCCGAAGGCAGCTGAAGGTGAAGGCTTTAGCGATACAGGCAGAGGCTACAGCCCTGGTGTCGACGCGAAGGTCTAGGCGGAGGCACCTCGAGCAGAGATTCTAGGAGCCAGGGAACCTCATGCGAGGCGGTGGTGCTAGGCCATGGGCCACAGATGGACTCACAGTAGCGGCCCAGTAAGGAAAGGCGGTTGAAGAAGAGGATACCCAAACTACCCCGGACAGCTTGTATAAGCACAGGGATTGGGGGGGTGGTATGATCCCGGATACCAACAGCAGACCACATGGGCTGCGCCCCCAGGGGCAGCTCAGCCCACAAGATGAAGCCTTACAGGGCACGACGCTGCTCGGTGTCTCCCGCAAGACACCGGGAAGATATCCTGAAGATACTACGAGATCTGTTAGGATACGTATGATCCCAAGATTCCTATAATCTGTTATTACATTCCGGTTATCTCCTAGATCTAGCTGTCTTGTTACCCTGCTCCCCGGACTGTATAAGGCAGGCAGGGACCCCCTCCAAACGCACGCAATATCATACGATAGCCAATACAATCTAACAGACCACAAGAGTAGGGTATTATGTCATACTAATGGCCTAAAACTATCTAACTCGTGTGTCTATGTTGCCTTCTTGTTATTGATTACACGCATCTCTGCAGATCAATCTACCTTTGTGGGAAATCTCTCGGAGGACTGCCGACGATATTCTATCAACAGTTGGCACGCTAGGTAGGGATGCGCTTGCTGTTTCCATGACAAACAAGATGGTACATTCCGCAAGCTCTTCGTCCCTCCCATAGCAAGGCCAGATTTTCACAGTCGGATCGATCTCGTGGATCATCAACGCTGACGAAGTCAGAGAGCTCATTGAGCCGGTGCATATCAATTCTGCGCTGATCACCCCAACACCTACGACTGTAGATCCGATCAGAAATCGCCTCTGAGGTCATCTTCATCAATGATTCGACGCCCGCTCCCCCGCTACCAGAGGAGGCAAGTCAGCAATGACGATCTGATCGCGTCCATCGATCGGGTTGGCCAGAAGCTCGCCGATTGCCTCTCCATCATGGAATCGGCTCTAGACACTCTCGTTCAGTGCCGATCACCCTCCGATCTAGATCTATCGGAGGCTGCTCAGGAAACTCTTGGGGTTATGGCCCTACCCTTTGCGCTCACCAACGTCGCCGCCACCAACCAAGATGCCCTAAGGGGCAAATTCGCCGACCAGGTTGGAGATGTCCATCCTCTCGCCGACTAGATCACCGACCAGATCGCCATGATGAATCAAGCTAAGTCATGCTTTAATATTCTTCTAAATATTCTCCAATCTTTGTATATCGCCATAATATTTCTCTGAGCTGTTTTCTCCATGTTTGCTCTCCAAATGATTTTCTTTCATGTATACCATCTTAAAGATGACATACAGCTAAGCATAAGGCAAATCCCCGAATAGTCACGTTGATGCTCGGACGCCTCCAGAGATGGCCCTATCTCCGGTTTCTCCATACACGTGCACGAGCGTCTGCCCTCTGCATTATGGGTGGTCGGCAGCAGCTCCTTAGCGACGCTTTGTTCTTCCTACACGCACATGGGCTCTGCGCTCCGTGTTATGGTTAATGGGCTAGCTAGGGCTAGAGACTCAGCTACACACTAACTGGTAGGGCGGTTTATATTAAATATAAATACATCTCCATAATAACACTAAGTGTTCACACCAACTAATCACCAAGCTGCATACGCTATTTTATCACCATTGCTGATTCTACTCCGGAGTTCATATATTTCTACATTATGTACTACCCGTTCTACATATTTGTATTGCAGTATTATCATCCAGGTGATCGGACCACCTGGTGCTCGGACTTCTCCACCAATCAACTGGTCGGACCGCCAGGTTCATGGACTTCGTGGCCGACCAGTTGATCGAACTGTTCGCCGGTCGTTTCTACTCAATGCTCACTTCGCCACCAACCAGTTGACCGGACTGTTCATCGCTCGTGCTTCATCGCCAGCTACGCTAGGGACTCCTCGGTGCTCGGACATCGCCAGCTACGCCGGGGACTCCTCGGTGCTCGGACATCACCAGCTACGTCGGGGACTCCTCGGTGGCCAGGTCTTGCTACGTCTTATTGGTGTGCTATCAAGCTGCTCCATGCTGTTCGGATCAGGGTGCTGATCTTGGGCAGCACGTCTGGGGTCTTGATACGCGCATGTCAGATGACGTGAGCAAAATTTTTTCTGTTGACTGCTGTTTCTGACCCTAGCACCATATGACCACGTCACCTACTGTCAGGCTCCAGGACTAAGTGGGGACACTTCACCTTATGCTGAAATTGCTTTTTCTCGTTTCGGGGCTATGCCCGGGGACTAGCTGCCTGCTCGGCTAGTCTTCTATTATTCTTCTACTTTGGACCCTGGCATCACATGACTACGTCATCTACTGTCAGGCTCGGGGACTAAGTGGGCACACTTCACCTCGCGGTGAATGTGTTTGCTTTATTCTGGAAGACTCCGGGCCTCTTGAAGCTGAAGAAGACTATCTCCCTTTTTCGGGGTCGGACTCTAAGAGGGCACACTTGGTCCACTGCGAAGAAATTTTCGATTCTGAGCTTGAGCTCCTTACATCCTTATGGCAAGCCGTACTTGGGTTATACTGCTCGACGATGGTTCACACTACTCGGCGATGGCTCACGCTGCTCGGCGACGGTTCACACTGCTCGCCGACGGTTCACGCTGCTCGACGATGGTTCGCGCTGCTCGGCAACTGCTCACAACTACTTGGCAACTCATCACGGTGGTCGGACCATGAGTTTCACTGCTCGGCTTTGTTCGCACCTGCTCGAACAAGCTCAAGACGACGTTGCACAACGGATACAAGGCGCTCAGGGACTAGCTGTGGGGGGGGTACGACCCCGGATACCCATGTCAGACCACATGGGCTGCGCCCCCAGTAGTGGCCCAGCCAACAAGATGAAGCCTTGCGGGGCACGACGCTGCTCGGCGTCTCCCGCAAGACACCGGGAAGATATCCTGAAGATACTAGGAGGTCTGTTAGGATACGTATGATCCCAAGATTCCTGTAATCTGTTATTACTTTCTAGTTATCTCCTAGATCTAACCATCTTGTAACTCTGCTCCCCGGACTATATAAGGCGGGCAGGGATCCCCTCCAAACTCACGCAATATCATACGATAGCCAATACAATCCAACAGACCACAGGAGTAGGGTATTACGTCATACTGACGGCCTGAACTTGTCTAACTCGCGTGTCTCTGTTGCCATCTTAATCTTGATTACACGTATCTCTGCCGATCAATCTACCTCTGTGGGATACCCCTCGGAGGACTGCCGACGATATTCTGTCGACAAGGATATACCAGGAATGTACCATGACGGTCGCAAGGTATTGTTGTAATACGGCGCAACAACAAATAGTGCCGTATAAAAGGGGTACAAATCCTGTAAAGGAGATGTTGGTGAATACATTTATAAAACTCTAATTGTACCTGGACCCACCTACCACTTTCCACATCTTCGCCCAGGGCATCCGACTGGGCGAAGACCCTCCGTGTCTCACCTGCTGGAAACCCGGTTTTCCAACGAGGTGCATCACAACTTTGTGGGCTTTACCGTCCATACGTGCATTGTTTTTTTTTTACGAAACTAGAGGGGGCTTTACCCCATACAGATATTTAAAAAGAAATTAAAAAGGTAGAGTAAAAAAATAACAGTTCAAGAAAGCAAAAAGGAGCTAAAGAAAATGCTAGGTGTGACTTAATTTGCGCACCCTGGAAATGTTAAATGTTATTTATTGAGCTCCATGCGTACGCGTTGGCTCTGGTCCTGCGTACTGTGGTCGTCCTTGAACCTTTGCTCGCCTTGAAGGATTACCCACATTACAAGCAAGCATCACTTGATGTCTTTTGCTTGCACCACACAAAAGTGCACAAAGAGAGATTCATTGTGAAAAGAGAAAGTAGCAGAAACGATATATGCTTTATATCCTGTCCATCATCAGGAACAAATACCTTGAGTGCTTATAGGTTAGTTGCACACATTGACAAGCATAATGTGCATTGCCTCAACCACAAAATTTGGTGCTTCATACAACCAACATCCCCTTTATTACCACAACTCTATACGCTCAGCGGATACACACAACTCTGAGCATTAGCAGCGCCACTGCTATCTTCTGAGTTCTGACACACAACACATAGCATTAACATCAGGAGAACAATGGCGGATCTCGCCGCGTTGGCATCTCCAAGGCGGCGGTGGAGGCGCTGGTGAGCAAGATCCAGTCTGCCATCAAGGAGGACGCTGAGAAGTGGCTGACCGTGCAACGTGACCTGGTGTTCATCACGGGCGAGTTCGAGATGATGCAGTCCTTCCTCGACACCGTCAGTGAGGAGCATGTCAAGAATAAGATCGTGGGGACATGGGTGCGGCAGGTCCGCGACCTGTCCAACGACGTGGAGGACAGCATCGATTTCATCCTCCACATCGACACGACAAAGAGGTCGTGGTGGCTACGGCTGCTGCCGTCCTGTGGGGGCAAGGCGGGAGCGCTACTGCCGGTGGACGAAGCAGTGGCCGAGACAACGCTGCTCAGGGCCCGGGTGGTGGACGTGAGCCAGAGGAACATACGCTACAACCTCATTAGCGACTCTGGTTCCAAACCCCTGGCCCTGCCGCCGCAGGAAATGGCTGCTGCAAGCACAAGGTTATTTGGTAACATTCTCCTCAATGCCACTAAGAAGAAAAGTGGGCTCTCAGATGATCTTGCCGGATTGATCATTAGGGAAGATAAGGAACTTCAAGTAATTTCGATATGTGGAACAGGAGGCGATCATGGGAAAATATCCATCATCAGGAAGGCGTATGGTGATCAAAGGATCCATAAGAACTTTCAATGTCGTGCTTGGGTGAAGCTACAGCATCCGTTCAATCCTCATGAGTTCATCCGAAGCTTGGTGGCTCAATTCTACACAAACTCTTGCGAAGCACTAGGAGGAGAAGTTGTCGGCGTACGTGCCCTGACAATGATGGAGGGGAGCCAAGGTGCTTATAGTCTCACCCAGGAGTTCGTGCAGCAGGTCAACAAGCAGAGATACCTCGTCGTTTTGGAAGATCTGTCCACCATCTCACAGTGGGATGACATCAAGACATATCTACCCGACATGAAGAACGGGAGCCGGATCGTTGCGTCGACTCACGACCTCGAAATTGCTAGCCTTTGTCCTGGGGAACCGTGCTTAGTATCCGAGCTGAGGCAGTTTTCAGCTGATCACTCGGTCTACGTCTTTTACAAGGAGGTAAATCTTGAAAACTGTTGGATCTAGTATGTGTTAATGGTGCATGAATTATATATACATTTCCATTAATGAATTTAGTATTTACTAGTCTATGACCACGTTCTCTCGCACATGCTATAATTTTAGAAGACATAAGCACTAGTTATTGTTTAATGTATTTGACTAATATAAAAATAGATATATTAAATTATTTGTTTTTCTCTTTATTCATTTCTAACACAATATGCATAATATATTACTCACTCAGTTGTAAATTATGTCGTTTTGATTTTTTTGGTATATCAATTTTGCTATGTATCGAGACATATGTTATACCTAGATACATAGAAATAATGATGTACCAAAAAAGTCAATTGAGCAACTTATAATTTGGAATTGAGGGAATAGTCTTCGTAGTCTCAACTACTGATCTATAGGTTCATCCATATCTATACTTTTATTCATTTGCTTGGTACCTCTGTGTATCTTCAATATATATTCAGTTAAAATCTTATGATGTCAAATACATTACTCCGGTTTACATCAGCATATATCTTATGATGTCATGAATCTAAATTCCAAATTTGAAATATATAATAGTCTAATCTTTTGCTACAGATTTTTTTATCCTTAAATTAAGGTGCAACATTGGTACTTACGGTATTTTTTATTAACACTCTTATATATTTTTCAAAATAAAGACTTTAGGTTATAGACTGTATTTTTAAGTACTACAGTAGCACGAACAGTCATTTGAAACCTGCACCAATTGCTTAAGAATAGTGGTAGACTTCGAAACAAGGTCTAGGATGGGTAGCAGTGATAACCTCCAGATGATATCAAAATTTAAACCTTATTAATGACTATTTACTAAAAAAATCTTAAAGGCTTGGAAAATATAGCTACCTATAGTCTGCACTAGCCTCCCTCACTTCTCAAGTTATTTGAATTTTCATATCTAAAAATTATGTGTACTAATACTTATACTATTTATATTGATATGGCCAATGTTTTAGTTAACATGTATAAATATACCTATATAAATTATATGTCATGTTCATAATATAATATTTAATAATTTGTTCTTGTAAGAGTAGATAAGCAAATAACTTTCATGATTACTGAAACAAATCATATATCTCTCATGCATGCATGTTTACTTTGTATATATGCATGATGCCACAACATGTATATTTACTTTAATTAAAGTTTAATACATATTAATATTAATATTAGTATTAACATTAATAATAATAGGAGTGGGTAATATACATATCGAAACATATATATGCCGCCGCTAGCCAACTGTTCCAGCGGTCAGACCCGCACAATGTTCTCATTTGGGGTAGTAGATGTTAATTATATTTTTATAACCTTGGACAAACACAACTACAATCTACATGTTAAGAGACATGCAAAAACTCATTTCTAGAGCAAAAAGGAATTTGGTCGAGTGTAGGGCTATCCAGTAGGACGCTACCCACCAGGGTTCAAACCTTGGTATCACACTTTTTTCTCTAGGCTAGAGCCTCCCAATCTCTTTCTTTGCGTTTCTACGCATGCTTAAAAAACTCGTTTCTAGAGGAGGAGGGGACGCACACACCTCTAGATGACGGTATGTTTACCATTGTAGTTTCTAGAGGCAGCTCATTTTCTCAGCGCCCAAATGCAGGCGCCCCAACGACCCTATCTAGGAAGCCTATCTAGCACCTTGTTGAGGTAGCCTGCTGATCTCCATGAAGCTGCGATGTTGGCAGACACTGTGCCACTGAATCTGGAGCCTATGCTACCAGATCAAGAGTTCGTATCGCTAGATCTAGAGTATGTGCCGCCAAATTTGAATTCCATGCAACCAGATCGTGAGCGACGACACAATCGCCAACCTCCGCCCACTTGTGGACGATAATCTAGACCCCGCCACTAAGCTCTGGTTCCTTGTGTCCTACTCCAAGGCCGAGGTCAACGATATATTGTGGCTTGTGATCACCAATGAAGGCGGCGAGTCAGAAAGGGGTGCTAGGAGGGGCAAAGCAAGTCAGGGTAGCAGTGGAAGGGGCAGGAAGAGGCAGTGGGTTAGGGAGGGGCAGGTAGTGCTGGCAGTGCCATGGGTTTGGAACCATGACAAGCATCGTGTTGTTCGACGGTGGTTGATGTGTGTGACTCCGGTGGCTTAAGCACTCAAAAACACTCAGAGACACAGGCAATTTATCCTGTGGTTTAGGCTTCAGTGCCCTACTTCTAGCAATATGGTGCCCTACGTCTAGCCATAGTCGTAGTCGAGTTTGTTGTTCAAATGGTAGTGCTATGCTAATATAGGGATTTGCTTGGGCTCTTGACCAAGTGGACGATTGATTGGTTTCTACCTTTGTTGAACCAGGGATCTCTTAGGTTTCCGTCCTTTTCTACAGGAGCCCATGCCTTGTCTTATATAATGGGGAGGCGATGGGAGTACAAATCGGGTGATGTGTCCTACTGTTTCTCTCCCTGGGCTTCGGTCTTCATCGCCCGTTTGGAGCCACCGAGTCCTTTGTCTTATAGCTGGGCGCTGACAAAACCTCTACATTCCGTAACGCCTTAGCTACCACATGGTGCTGTCTACAGCAGCGGCGCCTTCCCTAGGCAAGCCTTCTCCTAGGTTCCTTGGCACACAAGGCCCTTCTCCTCATCCTGGGATGCTGCCTGGCAGATCATGAGCCTCCCACCGGTGGAGTTCCTTGTCCTAATGTGTCATGCCTAGGGCGTGACCCTACTGAGGGAGTGGCCAACAACACCCTATGGCGGTGCGGTGCTTTTGTGCCTATTAGGCTATGAGTGTCTTACAGATTCTAGAGCTGGTTTCTCCTCTTGGCTCGGGAGGAGCATTCTCCCTGAGCCAAGGCTAGGTTGGCTACGATGGCAGTAGCTTGGCCTAGCCCTTGAGCCCTAGCTAGGTCAGGACTCCATCGGGGGGAGGGCCACCTGCAGGCCATTGAGCCATCTCTTAGTTGCCAGTAGGTGTGTGCAAGCGCACCCGATGGGCGTAGCCCTGAGGTCTCGGCTGTCTCAGAGAGTCAACTGGGGTTTCGATGGACTATCGATTCTATAACTCGGTGACTTAACACACCCTGTGTTAGACTCTCGTCAGGCCACGATGGTCAGAGCGGTAAGCAATGGCGACACATTGAGGATAGAGATGGGGAGGATGAGGTGAGTGGGAGGGAGAGGACGAGTAAGGGAGTAAACTTGGGGCGGGGGTAAGGGTTGGGTTTCTTGGCATAAAGTTTCCTGGAAATTCTAAGCGTATATATATGGCTAAATGGGCTTTTGTCTTTAGATGGGCCACACAATTTTCAGAGGTGGTTTCCTTAAAACGGCGGCATCGGTTGTAAATGGGCCCATTTACAATTTTGAGATGTGGTCATTATCCTTCAGCCTCCAATTATTTAAGTGAAAATTCATGACCACATTTGGAACAAAATCCCTGTCTCCTAAATTCAATTTTGTAGTACTGAAATTTAAAATAGCATTAGTAGAAGTTTATAACAAACCTAGAACTAGCTATATGATTGGATATAGATAGTACTAGTGTAGGTCAATGATCCAATTGATAACAGACCATAGTGGTTTGATGCGAGTTGAGAAATTTTATGTTTCTCTTATTTGTATATGTCCTTATTTTTTTACTTCATACTGTCATAGGTGAATAGTATTTTTTATTAAATTAGTTAATCTCGCTCCCAAATTCTATTATAAACAGTCTGACAAACAATGCGAATTTCTGATCCATACTTAGTGTTTAATACCTTTTTGCTCGGCTGTCTAGGGGGTCCTCAGAATGTTGCTCCTATGTATCCTTATCCTGTCCGGTGATCTGGACGTCGATGTTGAGTTGCTGAGAACTCCGATGAGCAGATTCAGCGAAGGTCATTTGATCCTATAGGAAAATGACATCATCGACAGAGGTTGTTGAGCATAGTTAACAGGAAGTTTGTATTCACATTTCTCATGTGCGAGAATGCAGCTCTAGCATTAGCATCTGCGGTGTAAACTTGAGGGGGGAAAAAGATATGATTTGTGAATAGAAAGAGGACAAACCTCCTTATGAGTAGACTGTTCGTCGAACAGTTTCCTCTTTGCACCTTTGTTTTCAACATGGGTCGATGACTTTGCCGGGCTGAGAAACACAGCATTAGAAATTGCGAATTGGCAAGCGATGTTTGATTAATCAATCAGTGCCAAGTGTCAACTGTACTACTTTAAATATAGCAGGCATCTATAATATCCAAAGACAACATTGCACAACAGACCAATACAGAACAATGGGCCAGTGATATAAGATCATCAGAAGCAATACTAATTCTGCTGATGAAATAAACACAATTACACAATAGTACTACTTTCATGTCATCAGAAGAAAAGGACGGTTGTATGTACAAGGATTAAAATTTATTAATCTGCATCACCTGATGGTTTCATCTTGGCCTATTCATGATTCACACGATGATCTGACACTACAAAGGTCAGCAGCCTAGTAATCTACCAGCAGTAAGAATAAATTCTAGTAATTTAACCTTTAGTGACCTATTGAGTCTAATAGGAACACTGCAAGAACAACTTTTTTTCATATATTCTGAGTGTGCAAATCTGACCAGTTTATCGTAACATAGGTAATTCATGGGAAAACACAGCATAAAGTGAGATAGTTCAGAAAATGAAAGCGATAAAGTAATTAGTAATCCAGTTACGAAATGTGAAGGCATGATCAGTGTCACAGTAAGGCTGACACAAGAAAGAGCAGACCGGGGGCGCCGTCGCCCCGCCAGCGCGGCGCACGAGGAGAGGCAAACCTGCGGGACGAAGCTGGCTCGGGGTGGCAGGCACGGCGGGGCCAGCTCGCTGACCTGTGGCACCGTCCAGCACAACGGTGGAGCCCATGCAGCCGGATCCAGTGGAGACGGGGAGGCCTCACGCTGGATCCGCCTGCTCGGCTCAGATCGACCGCGTCCATTGCCGGCGCGAGGTCCACGCCGCGCTCCAGCCTCAGATCCGCCGCCGGGAGGGGCCCCGCGAGCAGCCGCTTCAGATCCACCGTCGAGGTTGCTGACGTGACCTCCCCATCGTCATCCACGCCCACCACGGAGGCCCCTCCGCCGCCAGAGCCGTCTGGCGCGTTAGGGACTCAGCTGGCTGGCGGCGCGGCCGTGGGGACGACCGGCAACGGAGCGGCCAAACCCTAGGCCGCGCGACCCGCTGCCTTGCATCGCGAGGAGGAAGCTGCGTGGTGGTGGCGGTGGAGGAGGAGGAGGAGGAGGAGGAGGAGTGTTGCCACCGTGGCGCGGAGGGCAGGCCACCGCCGAGGTTGGCCCGCGGCATCGCCTCAGTCGTGTGGCGACGGGAGCGAGGGAGTGAGCGTACCGGCGAGCGGATGAGGAGGGGCACAGTGAGGCGACGGAGAGTAAACGAACGAACGAAGGCAAGACACAGGGCAGGATAGTAGACGGAACGAAATCTGGCTGTCGAAGCGAAGATCCTACGGCTGTCAACGACGGTGGCGACGTGGGCAGCCTGAGCGCTGGCCAAAGTCCCCTGCTTTGATAATAAGAGATAAAATACCCAAGCAAGTGAGAAACCAAAGTTTTTTATCTTGGCTACAGTATAATACCAGATGTTTGAATTGGTCATATGCCAACGGTGATCTTGCAACATATTGTTACTATTTTTAAAAAATATATATTAGTGGCCGATGTCATAACATGTCCCTTCATAATCTCTAAGACATAATAACACAATAATAACCATATCTTTTGTGAAATTTCGTAAAGTGATTTAATTAATTCATGTTGTTGTAATTTGAAGACACTAATAAAATAGGATGATTATATTTCCTTACATCCAAGAATCCTACTAAATTTAATCCCCCCATATCCTCATATAAGGTAAATAACACAATAACAACCATATGTTTTCTGGAATTTCATAAAGTGGTTTAATTAGTTCATGTTGTTCTTATTGAAGCCATAAAAAACAGGATGATTAGATCTCCTCACATCCAAGTGACCTTCTAAACTTAACCCCCAAATAATACATGTTGTTCTAATTTGAAGCCACAAATAAAATAGGATTATTAGATCTCCTAGAGCCCTTCTAACCTTAACCCCTAGATCCGCCCATATGGTGCATCCTAATAAAAATTCTCCCTGAAATATTTTTGTTCTCCAACGTTCCCCCTATCTTAAATAACATATAGGGTGGACAATATTTCACAGTCACCACAAATTGAAGGGACATAATGGAAGATTTAGGATATATCACTAAAGTATGTTGGATAGAAAAACTTTTTGGAGGGTGTTTTTTATTGCATAGACGTTAAGGTTTTAAGAGGTTGGATAAGGTAACTTTCATTGGAGATTTTCTGTTTGCACTCGTTCTAGGACTGACTGGGCCATCTGTTAGGCGGCGATCCATAAATCAATTTTGTCCTAGGTTGTTTAACATATAAGTGAGTGTGATTATATTTACTTATGAATAACTCATAGGTATGGCATTTTTCTTTTCCCCAAAAAGTTGGAAATTCAATACTAACTTTACATTGTTTACATAGAGATACATGGATGCATTACCTCATACACTCATTGCAAATCAAGCATTGTATATTCTAGGCTCAAGCTCTTGTCTTCCTACTTACATCAGGTTTGCAGCGAATATTGCCTGGAAAAGAAAAAATAAGCATAAGATAGTAATATGACATGTTATTCATAAAAACAAAAATTTACAGATAGAGGAAGGGCACCAGAAATTTTTTTTGCCATGATCTAGATGGGTGTTCTGAGTAGAACCAAGCTCGCAATTTGCGCATTGCCCATTGGTGCATCTTGCCCATCTTGGAGGTCGATGTCAGGTTGATGCATAGTGATGCAACCTTCAGATCAAACATCTGAATTTCCGTAGTAGAAAGCAATGACTTTGACGAAGAAATAATGGAAGCTGTCTTGGATGAAGATTGAAGATATTCAACTGCGAGATGCAATTCATGGAAATTGATTCCTCCAGGCCTCCCGGGGTGCCACCATGCATACCAAATCGTCTTCTTGTCTCACATAAGACGCATATGAGGTTAGTGCTTGGTGCCCCTGAGCCCCTCCGATCCTGCTTTCTCTCCACATCTGCAGGGCCAGTAGGAGGACTAATGCATTCGCGAGATTTTTCATGCGTGCACTAACATCCATCTTACCATAACACCATCGATCCGCTACACACAGCTGTTGGTAGGAATTCTAACACAGGGGAGAGGAACCGGAGAAGAAGCCGACGATGCGCTAGGTTAGATTAGATGGGTTCTGGAAAACACACGTAAAACACCCAGATTGATTCAGGCAGTTATTTTAATTATTGTATTTCCAATAACCGTGAGATTAACCAACGTCAACTTGATTGGTAGATATTTTTTATTAACAACATATTGTAAACTACGGCCAATCAATGGATGTACCAAGTGAACGTGATTGGTAAATTTTAGGCTATTATTTCTTATAATCTCTATAATGGCAGAGGTGGGTAATTACTTACAAAATGAAATAGATCCAATGGTTATGGATGGCTAGAGTCTTTTGATTTGTGGCCGGATGTTTCTAATTATTGTGAGAATTTTTAGAATTTATCACTATCGCCACTACTACAGATTGATTTATCACTGTCTCGCACTGCTACAGATTGATTTATCACTATCGTCACTTTCATTGCCGTAGCGATAGAAGCGACGGTGTGATACCTTCACCGTCGGTTGACCGATAGCGAGGCCTCCTAAACATGGAAACCGGCAGTTGAAACTGCTACCACCGACGGATTAACGGTAGATGCGGCAGTAGTATTGGGGTTTCATTTCCTCTGTCGCATGAAAAGCCAGGCCGACTGGGATACACATTTTGGCCGGCGGTCCTAAACTAGCGTTTGGTCAACTGGCGGTAAAAATTCAACGTGAGTGTTGAATGTCCTCAACTTCCAAGGCCATCAAATCACCATTACTTCCGCCGCCTGAAGCCAAAGAGCCGTACGCACTGCTCTACAAATTTTCCAAGCCCGGTGCCCTCTGAAACCACCCCTCTTCTTCATCCATCATCCCCTTCTCTTCCAATCTGTAAAGAAAATGTCGGGCAGCCCCATCAAGTTTCCAAGCAGCCCGTCGTCCAGCGAGGACGACTTGACAGCCCACCAGTCCTCCGAGAAAGATGTCTCCACCTACAAATGGATGCCTTCTGATTGTAGTCCTCCACTGAGCTCCGAGGAGGACCCGGAGGAGGAGGATGAGGCTGATGACGAGGAGGACGACGCCGATGCCACTGCCGCCGCCGATGACTCCGATGACTCCAACTTCGACAACTCCGACTCTGACTTTGACTCGCCTCCTCCCAAGTGATCGAGGCAAGCAAGGATCATAATTAGATTAAGTAGTTTATAGTTAGTATAAGTAGTTTTAATAGTCTAGGTTAATTATTATGTTTCTAGACGAGTACAATCATATACTCGTCCAAATTGTATGTATCTATATATGCAATGAATCAATGAAAAAAAGTTCTTTGAAATATTATGTTTCCTACTGCTGTTCTTGCTACCTATCTTTGATCCTTGGTATTCTAGGAGATATTGCTACGCAACGAATGTTTTTTTCTTTTTCCGTATATATATGAATGAAAAGTAAAAACTATCATGTATGGTTCTGGTTGTTTCCATGAGAATCTAATAGTAGTTCAACTGCTGACAATCGTCATATTATAGCGTTAGATTAGCGTGACAATGGTCGGCTTAATACGGATACTGTTTATCTTATCCTGTGCCATCCATTCTCGCTGCCGATCAATCTGGACCTTCCGTTTGGAAATGAAACCTAGAACTGCCCGAGCCGTTCCCCAACTCCCCTCGGCCCTGTCGGCGCATTGGCGGTTG